AGTTTTTTAATGTGTGTGTGTGCACAGTCGTTGATGTATGAATGCAACAACCCAGCCAGCAGCAACAACACCCACCCAGGCCATGCCATGCCTCTCCCCTGTAGTCTCTTCGGGGCTCAAAGCGCTATTTGGGTCAACTGCGAGCGTCTACACACACACACACACACGCACACACGTAAATGGGGGGTGTGTAGGAGCGTGGGTGTGCAAAACTTTTTTTTATGAACTGTTAAATTTCCAATTAGCGCTGATTGTTTCGATTTAACGGCGAAAAGCAAACGGTGCGTGTGCTCGCTAGGTGCCACGTTATGAAAGGCAAAGAAACGGCTGACTGACTGACTGACTCTGACTGGCATTTGAAAATCAATAGCAGCAGCAGATACAAGATAGAGGATACACACGGAGCCACCAAGTGCCTGTGCCAGTTTCACTTCGAGTTGCAGTTGCAGTTCCCCTGTGGTACGAAATTTATAATACTCCCGGGATTGATATTGCAGCAGCTTACGAGTGGGGGGAGCTGGGTTGGGCTGGAGCATTATTTCAATCAATAATTAATGCACTTGACTACGCTCCACAGCAGAGAGAGAGAGAGAGAGAGAGAGGGAGAGAGTCTGATCCGAGCTGTGCCTGCAAAAGGCCTTCAACGTGGTTGCTGCCCCCGCTGCCATTGCATGTGTCAACGCCCATGTCCAGCGTGGAGCTGCCTCGTCTGGGGTCTCCTTTTGGCGGCACTAGCATTTTTATGTCCATAATGTGCAAGCACACGTACAACAGAGAGACAAGCCATCCGCCAACAGCGGGGACTCTGGCTCCGACTCCGACTGCCCTGCTGCTCCCCAGTTGCCCGTCTCCGGGCCATTGTGCGGATATCGCATTGCTGCCCGTTGCAGCAGCAGCAGCAGCAGCAGCAGCAGCAGCAGTGGCTCCACGTTGCACGCTCCTGTGGCTCCTTCATTGCTTCTCCCAACAGATGAATGTCTGTTAAATATTTATGAGTATCGAAATGTTGCCTCAATGCATATTATAACAAATGAAACGTCAATTTCATGCGAAAAATGCAAACAGCATTGACAACCCCAAGGATTCCGAGCAAGGACCCTGCTGCCCCTGCTGCTGCTTGGCACGTGACAGGCCTATGGCCATGGGCCAAGTGTGTGGGCGGGCGAGTGTGGGTCTGCCGTCTACCATCTCCCACCTCCCACCTCCCACCTCCCATCTTTCGTCTAGCTTCGTCTGTCGTATGTAGCCTGTCGGATGTTGCATGTCGTCTGTACGGATGTCCTTTGGTTTCTGCACAATTTCATTATGGAATTTCATGCTGCTCTCGGTCCACATGCCCAAAAGGATTGCTGCACATTCAATTTGGGGGCCGGCACTCTCTCTCAAAGTGGAGCTCTACCACATAAAACATATATTTCATGGACTTTTGGTATAGATAATGGGCTCTGACAGACATTTCGGGCAAAACGCACCACAAAGTGCTGCCTCGGACTGGGACTCGAGCTGCTGGGCAGGAAAATCTCATTCGTAAATGCTGCAAAATATAATATCCAAGAATTGTGTGCTGAAATAATATTATGTTGTCCAAGCTTCGAGCTTCAATCAAGTGAAAACTCATTAGCAAAAGCGACTCGCACAAGAAAATCTAAAGAAAACTCTAAAGAATAAAGGAAAAGCAGCGCAGAAGAGAACAAAAAATGGGGTCACAAATATTATTACAAGTGTGCGGCGGGCAGGGGGAGCAGGGATGAGCAAAGGAGCGGCGGGAAGCGCAGCAGCTGAGTGGGTGATAGGCTGGAGGCCAAGGTGAATTCACTTACAAGGTGACGTCTTCACCACAGTGAAATCTTATTCACGAACCAATAGCTCAATCTCCATGCCTCTCCAGCGCTTGTCTCTCTGCGCGTGGTGAATAAGCTAGTGCTGCTCCCCACAGCGGAGAACGTCACCTTCTAAGTAATTTCACCTTGCGCTTGGCCCGCAGCTAATTTGCGAGGCAATAAAAATTGTTTATCAAAATGTGAAAAAGTGAAAAGTGAAAAAAAATAGGAATGAAAATTTCAATTCGTTTCGCTACGCGTATTTCCTTTTGGCTTTGCCGGTTTTGCCATTTGCGCCATTTTTCCACGCTTTTATTTGTGCAATTGCAAAAGTCGGAATTTAATTAAAAATGCAGCATGCCGCCGGCACCCCGCTCTCTCTGCGATTTCTCTTAGCGACTTGCACTTGAACTAAAACCAAAGCAGGACAGACGCAATAATTTTCATGTTAGCTGCCAAAAGCGTGCAAAATGTTTTCCAACTATCAGACAATAGGCGCACGAAAGGACAATGGCAGGACATACACACAGGCGGAGGGGGCTCAAAGTTGAGCCATCACCGAGCCATAAACTTTATTCAAAAGAGCAAATATAAGGGGAGCGCAAAGGGTCCATCCACACTGTCTGCAAGGTGTTGTCGACAGGGGGACGGAGACAAAATCAACAATAAGGGAAGACCCTAAACTG